GTTCTAGATGTGTTGGGATATTTAACATGCCATTTTAATTATATTATGCTGAAATGAACGAAATGAACGAAATGACTCGAAAAAAGATTCGTTCATTTTGCTGAACGAGACTCAAAGATCCGAGTCAGTAAAATGATCCGAACTTGCCACTACTAGCCGGTCCGCGCAGACTATGATTGACAGCTCTCTCATGGAGCTGATCTCACCCGCGAGGGCGGGTCTGTGTTGAGACGCTCCTGTCAATCAACAATCGTGGGAGGGGCTTCCGAGCGTGTGACGTCACACGGTCGAACGGCTCGATTTGAGGCAGGGGAAAACATATAAGGAGATTAAAACAAAACCACTGGATGGATTTTTATCATTATATGATGGTTGTGTACATTTCAGTACAATCAACTTGTAAAAGTGCATGCACCATTATATGACCCCTTTAACAGAATAATTCATCTGATGTCATCACCTTTCCCTTAAATCTAAAATACAATGTATTTCATCTTCGTCGTTTATGTGATTTTATGTCAGGATGTAGGATCAGCAGATCTTAAACAGAATCTTAAATATGTAATCCCAATAGTGTAATCGTGCAGAGGGAGTGCAATCAGAGTGGCAAATCAAAGGCTTGCAACCCGCTGTCTGCTCAAGAGTCTGTTTGCAAACAGCAGAAAGCCCCCTTCATGAAACCCATAGACAGTCAACCCAAGTGTCATTCACTCTGCTGCGTAAATCACAAAAAAAAAAAAAAAAAAAAATTATATTGACCCACTGCCTGTTTTCTATCATGTGCCGTGCACATTTGTGATGACATAAGGGACACCAGGGACTCGGACCACAGCAAACATCCCCAGTGTGAAAGCCCCCTAAAGATAGAGGAAATATTTTGATTAAAAAAAATAATAATTGCAAGCAACAACTATGCACGGAAGCAACATAAATTATAATATAAAATACAATACAATACAAATGAATGTACAATACAAAACCCCCCACAAACAAACAGCTTAAGTAAAAATGTATAGATTCAAAGGTTATGAGCAGATCTGATTTACACCAACAGACCATTTTCTTTACCTGTAGTTGGCGTTGTTCCTAATTTGCACTGAAAAGGAAAAAATCTCAAGACTTGGTCAAAATGACAATGATCAAGTTTATATAAAAATATATAGATATATTATATAGACTCATATGCCATTATTGCTGTCAAATTTGCGTTCATGAGCATGCAATACTGTATAGAGGACATTAGTGCCTTGGAGCAGTGGTTTCCAACCCTGGTCCTGGAGTACAACTAATACTGCACATTTTTGATGTCTCTCTTTAGACATACCCAACTGAGGTCTTGGGCCTTGTCCACACGGACACGGGTATTTTTATAACCGGAGTTTTTCCTACAGCGTTTAAAAAAAAAATCCCGTCCACACATGCTCGGTCTCCGTCTACATGAAAACGCAAAAACACGCTATCAAGCGCGATCAAGAGCATGCCACGCCAGCAGGCGGCGATATAAACCTTAACCGTAAAGCCACATTGGCCAATCAGAAGCGCAAATCTGACGTCAAACACAGCGGATAACGGCACACACTCTGACGTCGCAAGGCAAAAACCCTGGTTTCACTGTCTACACGACAACACTGTAACCGGCGTTTCTGAAAATCCTCACCCTGGCAGGGGTTTTCAAAAATGTTCGGTTTCAGGAACGGCCGAACCGCGTAAAAAAAGTCACAGTTATAAAAATACCCGTGTCCGTGTGGACAGGGACTTGGAGTCTTTACTAATGAGCTGATGAGTTGAATCAGGTGTGTTTGATTAGGGATACATCTAAACTGTGCAGTGCTGGGTGTAGGCTATTCCAGGACCAGGGTCCAGAACCACTGCCTTATGCCTAGTAGGGTTCCAAATTTGCAATCTTAGTCTCTCCTCAAGGCTTGTGCCTGATCTCGCAGAAGGTGTTATACAGTTCTAGGGGCTGTTATATGTCTCCCTTATTAAAGAACAATAATGCAGACTCCTACAGATATAATGAATACCAATGCACTTTCTATGCTTGGCCCCTAATCTCTCAAGATCCACGAGGACAATTTAATGTCTTTAACCCCCCCCTCTGGTACCCTCAAGCCAAATCCATAACCCCTTAAATGAGAGTCTCAATGCACACATGGTGCACAAGGAACACATATCCCTCTCAGGAGTGTGTTTCATACAGCTGGGACAGGGTTCCGTGCATCAGTCTATTTCTGGAAAAGTCTGTCATCCGTATCAGTGTTAAGGTGCCATCACGGTGCCTGGGGTCACACACATGTACTTTAGCACCTTTTAAATCAGACGCCTTCTGTGATTGATGAAGTGAACAAGGAGCATTTTAAAGACTCTGTACATAGACTCACACCTGCGATCCTTCCGACTTATTGCAGAACATAGGTAAGAGTGTAATACAAAGGCAAAGCACGAGATAAAAGACTGCTCTTTACTGAGCCATTGCACATTAAGTAAGAGTGACAGGGCTTTGATCCCAGTGTTTAGCTCAGAATACCTCATTCCACGATAATATGCATAGCTGCATATGTAAAATGCTTTTGCCTCTTAGACATATTAATTCGCAGACTCACAAATGTTTTTGACAATTACATTGCCTCAAGTGGAGCATTTCTACCTAAATTTGCTTCTCGCCATTCTAAAGTAAAGCTATTAATTTTGTGTGGATGCGTTATACCACCATGTAACTTTTTCCTCTTCCTGTTTTGCTTCAGTCATGTAATTGCAGTAGACAATCAGATGCCTACTTTATGGGTGCATGGTAGAACTGTCACTTCCTGTTGGGTGCAGATAACACGGGAGCTGTCACAACCACTTACTCTGCGCTAATGCGCCCCACGCAGAGCTGATAGTTTCATTGAATCAATCAGGGTCTTCTGTTTTCCCAGCTTCACATCTCTCTTGGCATGCAGCTCTTTATCTTGTTAACAAGACATAATGAACAGTTGGTGAAAACTTCAGGCACTTCAGGGGACATGATGCAAACAAAATGCGAGAGCAGCCTTGCAAAGTCAATGTGTATCTATCTATTCATTGTGGTCTGTAGCTGTGTCAATGATCATTCAAGTAGAATTCTTGTTACAGCACTCAACTTTTGAGAAGTACTACACAGTTGTCTTGATGTGCTACTTAAAGTCTCTTCGCTAAGATCCTTCTGCATCAAAAGAAAGGCATAATCAAAGTGTCCTAGTGCACCTAGGGTTGCTACTCTTTGCTCTTCCTGAAGTCCCTGGAGCCTTTTGGGAAAGCAATAGGTGGTTTGTTGACCTTGTGGCATGCTGTGAGACAAACCGCAATTGGAAAGCTAATGCCCCAAACCTCTTGAACTTTGTCTTCATTAGAAATGCAAGGCGAATGAATTGCCAGAATTCAATGAAAGAGCAGACGCGCAACTGAAATAAAAGAAGTCTGCCCATGAAGAGTGGATTCCCTTCTAACTTTGCATAGAGGACAAAGGTCCAAATTAATTGGAGTGTCCTATACCTCCTGCTGTGGATCTTTGTGACTTCAACTTAGAGCTAAAGCTAACACAACCTCTTGCCACCTGAACCAATGTTTGAAAAACGTGGAAGTCTTCAGTTGAAATCTCTTTAAAGACCTCCATTCAGGAACATCTGCTACATGTGGTTTGGTCATCTTTTGTAGACGTGAAAGAGGCGATAAATTTCATCTTGATGAGGGAAGACTCTTTTAGATTAGCCGCCCAATTAAATCTGGAGACAGAAATAAACAGGCAAACAGAGACTCCACTGTGGATATCTCCATTATCTGGTCACAAGGCCTGTTCTGATGACTGCAAGATTTCTGTCGCTTCTTCAGTTTGCACTTCCACAAACACACATTGCTTTGTTCCGCTACAGTTCTTCTATGGACACACTGAATGTCAGATGGAAATTCTTTGAATTCTGCAAAAAATGGATTGTGTCATATAACCAGAAGGAGGACTTATAAAAAAATAAATAAAAGGACACATAGTTCTGTTTTTCCTTTTTCATTTATTGGCACAGGACAACATTCTGTTGACATTAAAGAACACAAACTTGAGCTTGAGAACAGCAGACGTTTCATAAAGAAGGCTTACAGGAAAGGAAGTATAATAAAAAGAACAGAGAGATCTTTTTGTCAGCATATGCACAGCAGATAAGTAAACGTGCAAAAACACATCTCCCTTTCATAAGAAGAGGATTTTCAACCATAAAGGCTACGGAGAGAGCAGCTCTAAATCAGATTGGCCACATGTTGTACATTGTATGAAGCACTTGGTTTCCCAAAAGATGTTTTGAGTCACCGGTTTAATGATCAATGAAGCTGCTATGTTCTCAGAAACAAGTCTCCTGGAACTGGAAAAAAACATTTTTGTTCATTTTGTGCCTTGAAAGCACAAGCAGACCCTTCTATGCTCCACAGTGACACTCAAAAACATTTTGAACATAGAAAACCTTTGATGCAGCCAGTGATATAACACAGAAGTGGATTAAGCAGTTGAACACTTGACATGTCTAAAGAAGCTATGGACACCGCAGAAGGGGATTTTGGGGAAAATGACACACTGGTTGTGGATGGAGTGAAAAGCGCATGAAAATCCGATTACACCAGTGCTGTCTGTGTGGCTACAGCTGGTAGTCTGCCCGCTGCCCCAGAGCAACAACATGCCATCCTGTCAAACCCCAGACTACTGCCCACACCAGCGCTGACACTACGAGAAAGAGATGAACAGCGGAAGAAAATGACAAATGAGGGAAGATTTGTGTGGGTTCAAAAGCAGCATTAGGGACAAGTTGGACATTTCTTTCAATATTATCTTAGTCGAATTAATGACAACCTTATCTGAAAAAGCAATTAATAAATGTATTTATTTTAAATATTCATGTTATTATTAAAATTAAATGCTGTACCATTAACACCACAGTCACTATTCTCATTGAGTCACTCTAATCCACATGAATTTAACTTCACTCATGCAAAATTAACATATAAAAAAACATGACTAGTGGCCATGAACCAGCTTGCAAAAAACACAAAACAAAAAAGACCAGCTTTACTTGTCCTGGCTGTTTGGGTTATCGTCGGGATTGTGGAGTAAAACGCAAAGGGACAGCTCTGTGTGTTAGTTGAGCTTTGATACGGTGACCTTAAGGTCTTGCTTATTTGACATCCCAGTTATCAAAACTTTCAGTGGTGACCACTCGGGTAAACTCTGTTCCTCAGAACCACCACAGGAGGCAAATGGTGTCGTATGCCTGGATAGTGCTGGATGTGATCAAACCACCTGGTGACATTCAGATAATGCTCTTTCTCCAGTATAGACAATTCCACCTAAGAAGAAGTGAGGACAAACATGAGATGGTGAACATTAAAGGTAAAACCAATGTGTATAACACTACAGAGACATCCAATATAGTGCCTACAAAAAGCTTTTACCCCATTAGGCTTTGTTGTTTAAGAGTTTATCTAAAATAATTGCAACATTATATATACTATATTATATACAGCCTTTTATACAACTATAAAATGTCAAACAAAAACCTTCCATAAGTATTCACTCTCTTTAATATGGCAGAATGTGTCAATTACACTACCGATCAAAAGTTTTGGGAACGTTAAGATTTTTAATGTTTTTATGTCTACTCATTTGATTAAAAATACAAATAATATTATTGAATATTATGACAATTTAAAATAACTGTTTTCTATGTGAATATATTTTAAAATGTATTCCTGTGATCAAATCTGAATTTACAGCATCATTACTCCAGTCTTCAGTCACTTTAATTTATATAGTGCTTTTTACAATACAGATGGTTTCAAAGCAGCTTTACAGAGATAACAGGAATATAAATGCAAAAAAGTTTGTTTCCAGAAGAAAAAAACGTCACAGTCCAGCTTAAGTAAGTTCAGTGATGTTTCTTTTTTTTTTGGTTGAAAAAAAGTTATTAATTTAGTTCATTTATAAATATATAACCGCTCTGGAGTAAACTGTAATGTCATCATCGTCCAGCTCAGTTCAGTTCTTGTATTATAGTGTCAATACAGGCAGATCAATATTATTGTTGAATATTAAATTAAATGTTAAATTTCAGTGTCACATGATCCTTCAGAAATAATTCTAATATGATGATTTGATGCTCAAAAAACATTCATTATTAGTATCAATGTTGAAAACAGTTATGTACAATTTTTGTTCACGATTCTTTGATGAATAGAAAGTTCAAAAGAACAGCATTTATTTGAAATATAATCTTTTGTAACATTATAAGTGTCTTAACTGTCACTTTTGATCAATTTAATTCATCCTAGTATTGCTTTTTTTATTATTAAATAATAATAATAATTCTTACTGACCCCAAACTTTTGAAGGATAGTGTTTAATGTTATAAAACCTTTCTATTTCAGATAAAAGCTGTTCTTTTGAACTTTCTATTCATCAAAGAATCCTGAAATAAAAAATTCTATTTTTTTTGCAGGCATTAGTATTCAATTTGACATGACAAATGCCAAACAAGTTCCTTTGTTGTTCAATGTTTTACAACAGTAAAGCATGAAATCTACAGAGTGGTGAATACATTTTTTAGACACTATGTCTAACTGACTTTATCTCCAGGCAGTTTAAACTTAGTGACACACTTAAACTTAGTGTCATTGCCTTCTGTCAGTCATTAGTCAGTCAATTATAAGCACTGACATGTGAAGATGTGATATTCTACTCTCTTTCTCTCTAATTCTCATTTCATCCCTCTCTTCCGGTCTCAATGGGCTCCTTCAGGCTCCTTAAACTTCCTTGGCTGCTGTCCTGGGAAATGACAGCACTATGCGTCTCATCTTTCTGCTGTGTCAGGTTTCTCCTGTGCTTGAAGCGTCTTACTGTTTTAATTGGAACTCTGCATCACTTCTCTCAAACGACTGAAGTTCACCGCTGAGGGACTTACAACAATGTGGTGAATGCCGTAATACATGAGGATGTCTGCCAGGGTGAAGATGTTCCCAGCCAGGTAAACTTTATCCTCCAGGTATTGGTTAAGTTCCTGCAAGGGAAGTATAAAATGAGGTGACTCTGGGCCTGCTGTGCTGCCAAAAATGATTGGAGCGCTTCTGACCATCATGCAAAAGAACAGGAATAAAACTTGAGATGCATTTAACACTGACAGTCTCACAGCTTGCTTTAAACAAAGCACATTATACGATACACTAGCGCATGACAATTGGTTCACGAATAGTATATTACGATCACCAACATATAAAAGCAATGGTAATATTAAAACACCATTGTTCCAGTTAATGTTCAATTCAATTCAAATTTATTTGTATAGCGCTTTTCACAATACATATTGTTTCAAAGCAGCTTTACAGAAAGTGCATTTCAGATTGCATTACTGTGTCTTAAGAGATTTTACAGTTTAACAGGGCTCCAGATTGCGAATAAAATAAGCACAAACTAGACTTTGCAACAATTTAAAATCTAACCACTACTGGTTTATTTGCATCAACATGTGGTTTTATCAGATTGACCCCTTTGAGGAGATGTTAGTTAATTGCATATTTAAATTGCATGCCATTGTCTCTTTCCCTGCTATATGGCATCTTTCTGTTTTCCGCTAGTTAAGTAAAGGTCCACTGTATGTCGTGCTTAAGAACACCAATTTCTGTAGTAAAACCACTGCACAACCTGTTTGTGGCTTATTGCTTTGAGGGCTTTAAAAGTGACTCATCTGATCTACTTTAAAACTGGATCCATCTGCATTAAAAAAGCCAATTGAGAATGGATGACCATCTAAAGGCTAGAGGCATTCAAACACTTCAGTGAAGGTAAAATTAATTGTAATATATATTGTAGTTTTAAGGGTCTCTGATTGACGGAGTTTAGGCAGACAAGTGCGTGTGCTTGTCTGAGTGTGTGTAAAAGAGTGGCTCATCTGAACACTGTTCACTGCCTCCATTAGCCCTCAAGACGATGTGCTGTATTGTGCACAAGTGCTGAAGATGCTCCTCCTGTCCCCTGAGACCTATACACACACACACACACACACCACCCCCGCTGTAGTATCCAGGCTTTGGAAAGTTTCACATCAAACTCACAGTTGCTCTGTTCGAGAAAGAGTGGATGGACAGCCTACAGACACTTCTGTGTTACGCTGCACCGTGTTGAGTTATGAGACGTTGGCCTAGGGGTTTATATATTCTCTCTGAAATGAAGCTTAACATTGAACACAGTTCTGCACACAACTGTACAAAGTGATATGATTGTATTAAAACTAGTGTCTACTACGGTTTAGATTGTCTGGCGCAACAACAAAAAAATCCACTTTTGGATTTTTGGATACTTCTTTCATCATTTACTCACATTCGTGTCATTACAAACTCGTAGGACATACTTTCATGAATATATTTTTTAATAAAAAGCAAGTATGGTTGAGTTTACCTTTGAAATGACATGATGGTGAGTAAATCATGACATAATTATCATTTTTGGTGACCCAACCCTTTAGGGGCCGATCACGTTCTTTATTTCAAATGTAGGAAATGTAGGTATGTTATTTTCCAGGCGCGCCAGGTCATGTGAAAAAAAAAAAAAAAAAAAAATCAATCAGCTTCGGCCTTTCCATAACAACATCGAAAGCTCGGCCGAACAGCTGTTCATAGCTGTACAGGGCGGGTTTTTATATATCATCTCCATAAATATATCTAGTAGTAAAGATAATGCAAGGGCTAGAAATCAATTAATCCTTTGCTGATATTTCCTCGTCATCATGGAGAGCGCAGTTCATGGTTGCATTTTTATATTATCTAATATTTATATATAATATTATATATATACATAAACAACATTTATATTGTTATTTTGTAAGAAATCCCTATTAGGTTACATGGCACCAGATGTGGGCCTCCATGCCCATATCTTATACCATATATAATATGAGTAGAAGCCCACATCAATGCTTTTTCAGGGGGCCCAGAATTTAATAGCAACGGCCCTGATCTTAGGAGGTGGTCTGAGTATGGTTCGCTTTCAGCCATCAACCACTGAATTGGACTAGATCCAAAGAGTAACAATATGAACACAGAGGAGACCCCATTACTTCTTAAGAGGACCAAAAAAGGACATGATAACTGGGTTATTTTCCCCTTGGTTTACCTTCTGGTCCAGTTTAAGGGGTCTAAAGTGTGAAATCACTAGAGGGATGTCCCGATCCGATCCAGAGCATCGGTATCGTGCCGATACTGGCCCAGAACTTTAGAACTCTAGAACTCTAGATCATAAAAAAAAATATGATCCGATACCATATCCAACAATCCTTGAATATTAGCAAATCCCTTGCTGCGACATCCAGTTAAGCGGCGCAGCCTGCAGATTGGGCGGTTTTGCAATCTATTTTGCGGGCAAAAATGAGTTTAGGTGTGTGGATAAAAAATTGGGCTGGTTTCGGATCAGTTCGGCGGGTTTTTGTAGCTCAGTCTCTCTCTCTAAGTCTCTCTCTCTCTCTCGTGCCCCCTAAACTCACAACAGACACTCCCTCCCACTACCTTCGGTGTACTAAAAACACGGTTTTGCAATCAGTCTCCTCAGTTTATAAACCGTAGGCTGTAAACTGTAGACACAAGATATTGACGCATATATATGGAAGTAAAATAATGTCAAATGTTTTTGAAATAAAAAGCCTGTTGAATTGCACTACTTGAAAAAAAATAGGCATTGCATTAACCATGCTTGCATTTTAATGCATTGTATTTTTAGGGCTTGCATTTTTATGGGCTGAAATTGAGCATGGTTGAATATTTAAGCTGTGAATATTTCAATTAAAAACATTTCAAACACATTTTCATTATTAAAAATTCAATAATCCATATTCACCATTCATATTTCATTTCCAAAACATTCAAACTGTTTAAAAATACAACCAATAATATTCAACAGGCAATTTTCGGTCCATTTTATTTCGCTTTGCAAATTCGCTTCCACAAATTCAGTGGTTCAAATTCGACAGTAAATTCAACATTGACGTCCAGGAACTGCAGGAAAAGCAGAAGATTGCCGAGCATACTCTCCATCTGCTGTTAGTCGACCTCACCATCAGATGGTGCAAAAGCGCTTGTTGTTGACGAAGACATTCATTCATAAAATGGAAATGATTATCTGACAGTATATGCGGAAAAGATGATAAACACATAAAAGCTGTGTTTATGTTTCATTCAATAACTTCATTGTTACTTTCCCTGTGTATTCTACATGTCATCAGCTTTCTCTACCATGAACGGGATTATAATCGGTTTCCCTCAATACCTCATACTCAAGGATACCCTTTCCGTTGGGACAAAACGCTTAACACATACAGTGATATGAAAGACCAATCTTGCACCTTGTTGGAGATGTAGGCTGTAGGCTACTATATAGGCTACTACAGGCAAGAAGATGGACTCAGATAATAAACTTTACGCGCAAAGTTTCATGTTGAGCGTTTCGTGATATACTGGCATAAAATCAACACTTGATCAATTAATACTAACACTTTCTATTCTCTCTCTCTCTCTCTCTCTCTCTCTCTCTCTCTCTCTCTCTCTCTCTCTCTCTCTCTCTCTCTCTCTCTCTCTCTCTCTCTCTCTATATATATATATATATATGAATAAAGTCCTAAAATGCCTACGTGTATTGCATTAGCTTAAACTGGGATCATAGCACTTGCATATTGTTGTCCTCCTATTGTTAGTTTAACTGTAAATCGCTTTGGATAAAAGCGTCTGCTAAATGACTAAATGTAAAATTGGCTTGACATTGGACATTCGCACATTTAGGGACCGTCTCTAAAGTTGCATACAACATTGGCATGTACGTTTCTAACTTCAATAGCAAACTTAAATTTATTTGAATAAATATAAAAAATCCAAAGGGTGCGCATTATGCCTGACACTACATGAACAGTTACAGTTGGTTTTATGACTGTAAGTCGTTCTATTCAAATGCTATTGAAGTTAGAAACGTGTATACCAAAGTCGTATACACTTTAGAGACGGTCCCTAAATGTGCGAATGTCCAACATCAAGCCAACTTAATGCCATTCTATCACTGGGAAACGCTTAGCTGTGCGCGTTATTCTGAGTCCTTCTGCTTGCCTGTGAGTTTGGACTTTTACATCACTAGTCCATTAAGCTTCGTTAAGCGTATATGTCCAGCATGGGAATCCTGAAGTATTGAGGGAAACCCTAATAGCCTGCATGCAGCACATCGCCACAATATAAAGTTAAGGCAACTTAACAACCAAGAGAAATATATGTCAACCTCAAAAATTTAACATTGGATCTGTATATCCGCATCGGGGAATAAAATTATGATCTCGTTCACGGTAGAGAAATATGCATGTAGGCTACACAGGAAAAGTAACCGTGAAGGCACCGAATTTAACAAAAACAGCCGTCATAATAATCACAAATAAACTTACATTGCTGTAAATGAGTTTTATGAATGAATGACTTGCTCTAATTTTGCTGGTCTTCGTCAACAACACGCGCTTTTGCACCCCCTGCTGGTGAGGTCGACTAACAGCAGATGAAGAGTATGCTCGGCAATCTTCTGCTTTTCCTGCAGTTCCTGGACATCAATGTTGAATTTACTGTCGAATTTGAACCACTGAATTTGTGGAAGCGAATTTGCAAAGCGAAATAAAATGGACCGAAAATTGCCTGTTGAATATTATTGGTTGTATTTTTAAACAGTTTGAATATTTTGGAAATGAAATATGAATGGTGAATATGGATTATTGAATTTTTAATAATGAAAATGTGTTTGAAATGTTTTTAATTGAAATATTCACAGCTTAAATATTCAACCATGTTGAATTTCAGCCCATAAAAATGCAAGCCCTAAAAATACAATGCATTAAAATTAGTGCTGGGCAAGTTAACGCGTTATTATCGCGTTAACGCATTTATTAATTAATGCCGACAATTTCTTTATCGCGCGTTAACGCAGTTTTTTTTTTTTCTATTTTGAAAGTCCGTTGCTCACTGGCTCTGAATACACATAGGCCTACAG